ATCTTCATTTCGGAAGAATCCCCCCTTCCACCCCATCTCCTCCTTTTTCTTCCCTTTCAAAAGGGGGAACTATCAAGACCTACCTGATCTCGGATCCTCTGATATGCTTATTGACCGGGCGGGAGCCCTGGGCTCAAATATCTCCGAGCTCAGGGTTCTCTCCTGGGACAGCATGCCAAACCTGCTATAAATGCTAAGCATTTCTAAGTGTGAACTCTTGAAATATTTATGTGGTGTCCTTATGGGATTTCTTAACATTGCTGTTCTAGGCAATAAAATATATTTAGAAAGCTTTACTTCTACATACATCTTTACTTCTTTTAACCTAAATGTCTTTAAAATGCTGTGTCATTATGCAATGTTAAATGTTAAGCAATGACAGAACAGTGTAGTGGAATGCAAAAAACATGATTTTATAATCATCATCGGCATAAAGGGCGCTACTCATTTCAAATTAGTATCTAATAAGTGTGTACTAATAGCTATAATCAATAAGGATCTAACCTATGTGATTATCTGATAGTTTATTATTGAGTTAATGAGTAGATTACCTACTCTAATTATGTAAGTACTATATACTGAATATAACTAGTGTCTATATAAAAGGTGCAGTACTAGAATAAAAAAGTACTCGAATATCAACAACAACTATTATCTAACAAATAAGCACGAGTATCATTTAATGGGACAGTTCATCCAAAATTGACAATCCTGTCATCATTTACTCATGTTTAAAAGCTATTTGAGGTTCTTTCTTGTTGAAAACAAAAGATGATAGTTTGATAAATGCTGGTTGCCATTGACTTCCATAGTCATTTTACTGGGTGCCAGCAAGCAGCATTCTTTACAAGCAATATCTTCTTTAGTGTTCAGCAGAAGAAAGAACCTCATAAAGGTTTAAAAGCACCCGAGGGAGAGCAAATGATGAGGTGATTTTCATTTTTGGATTAAAACAGCTTGCCATATTAGGAGTGCTCTTTAAACTGGAAAACCTGCTGTGTAATGCATTGCTAATTCATAAGCATGCTGTTCCAGTGTGACTGTCTCATGTTTTACCCACAAATATTCTCTTAATAATGATTGTAACTGCAGTGTAGTTCATCAAGATTATTATAATTTTTTCTGTGGTAGAGCTGGGAGTGAGGGTTTATGCTGTGGATCCAGGCCTGGTGAATACAGATATCACCAGACATTTGATGAAGCCTGTGCAGTTCTTCGTGAAGACATTCGGTTTCATGATAAAAACCCCTGCTGAGGGTGCATATACCACGCTTTACTGTGCTCTTACTCCAGATTTACCAACTGGATCCTACTACAGGTTTGTTTGAACTTCATCTGTACACACTGTGAAATATTATGTAAAAGTATGTGCTCACAACATGTATTTTTGTTAATTTCACATATTTTAAAAGCTATACAAACTGTTTTTGTTAAAGTTGAGTGATTCAACCTAAAAATGTAGGGTAACTACAAATAATCTTGATGATCATCTTTTCCATTCACATGCTCTTTCTTTTGCTCTTGTGAGGCTAAAATTGGCTCCAACCTAATGAACTGCTCTAAATTTCCTCATGCTGAGGTTTAATAAAGTAGTTCCTCTCATGATCTCTCACAGTAACTGTGCGGTGGCCTCGTGCTCAAGGGCTGCTAAGGACGACAACTCCGCCAGCAAACTGTGGGCTGTCAGCTGCCACCTGCTGGGCATTCGCTGGAGATGAGCTCCTACTGGCACTGCACAGCAGCCTTATTTCATGCTAATGCCCTTTGTAAGATGTATAATTACTCAGTTTCAGCAGCAGCCCCAGCTGAGCTCTATCTGTATTCCTGTCTTATGCTAATTTAGAATCATTTCTGGACTGTTATTGGTCAGTCAGTCAGTCTTTATTCATTTCCCGAAGGCAATTTGGTTGCAGCATACAACCATGTCACACATAATACACAAAAGTACATTATACAATACTAATTCTACCCTAAATTTAAAAACTTTACAGCTGAGGGAATGAATGAAAGTTTAAACCGATTTGTTTTACTAATAGGAGTTCTGTATCGAATACCAGAAGGGAGAAGATAAAACTCGTGGTGCATAGGATGGGAATCATCTACTCTGAGCTTTACTCAAAACTTGTCTATTGTCTAACTGAGCCATGGTCATCTGTTTTCTCCCTGTTATTTTTCCTCCTAGGTTTACAATTCTCTCCAGACAACTTATTTTTCATACTTAGAGAATTGAACCAGCATAGCAAAGAAAAAGATAACAGTGACTGAATGTATGAACTTCAAAACATGCACATGAGTGATTTGTCTATATTAAAAGATCTTAATTTCTGTAAACAGTATAGTCGTAACACAACATATTAGTATTAACACAAAAGGACAATTTATTATCTAAAACAGTTCCCAAATACCTATACTGATCAACATTCTCAACACCCACTCCATTAATACTAATTTGCTTACCCTTAATCAGTCTCCTCTTACGATTAAAACCAATAGTCATTTCTTTAGTCTTAAGAACATTCATTTGTAAGAAAGCCTCCTGACACCAGCTGGAAAAATAATCAATTACAGGACCATGCGTGGAGTCTTCCTCACTTAACAAACTAACAATTACAGAATTGTCCGCAAATTTTAAAATATAACTGCTAAAAATACTCCTACAGCTATTTGTGTACAAAATAAATAATATAGGAGAAAGGACACAACCTTTTGACACTGACCATTTAGAGAAACAATTATTTACCTTAACCCTCTGTCCTCTGTACAAGAAAGTCTCAAATCCAACCTAAAAGCATTCGATCCAATTCAAATTCATTAATAAGTTTCTCAACCATAATATGTGGCTGAATGGTATTGAATGCAGACAAAAAGTCAGTAAAAAGTAACTTGGCCAATGTTTTAGACTTACTAAGTGCAGCAGAGTCCCTACTGCATCCTCAACCCCTTTCTTAGGCCTATACGCAAACTGAAAGAGATCTAGAACACTGTGACTCTTGCATTTTTTCCCTCTAAACTATCTTTTCAAAACTTTTTATTACTAAAGATGTAAGTGCCACAGGTCTAAAGTCCTCTATTTTCTGTGGCTTCTGTTTTTTTGGCACAGGAATAACTATAGACTGCTTCCACAGTGCAGGTACTTTTTGTTGTTGAAAAGATAAAACAAAAATTTCATAAAATATGGGTCCCAACTGCTCAGCACATTCCTTAAGCAATCTAGCTCCTATCTTATCCGGTCCTGGTGCCATCACTATTTAACTCTGTTTAAAACTTATAATCACGTCCTTTACATCAAAAAAATATGAAATTGTACTATTTGTCTACTCTTCATTCAGTTTTCACCCTCTCTATTTCTTGTTTAAAATCATGACTATCAAATCTTGAATAAAAATTATTACAATTTTGTGAAAAACCTGTGTCTGACGTGAATTCATTTAAACAAATTTTATTTGTTTTCTTACTATCCTGTCATGTAATTAAATGTATGCCATCCCAGGCAGAACCCACATTTCCCATTTTCAATTTTTCTTCAAGTTTTCCCTTATATACTGCTTTAGCCTTTTTAATTTTCCACTTAACTTCTTTTTTTAGTTAATGAAACTCAACAATATCTCCCTCTTTAAAGGCCCTACTATGTTTTGACAGAGTTGTGTGGTTGTTGTATGTTTGTAATTGTTGTCTTAAATCCAATGTTGAAGACAAATTTCCTTTCTGTGTCAAGCAGAACGGACAATAAAACTTTAAACTAAACTAGAGTCTTAAGTGATTTTGTAACCCATGGTTTATTTGGAAATTTCCTAAAGGATTTCACAGGAATAATATCCTCAAGTTTGAATGTTTCTTCTGTGCAGTTTTTGAAACTGTAATGATGAAGTATGTAATAATAGAGGGCTATGTTTTTTGTCATTTGACAATGAAATACAGTCATATCAATGACAACTATAGTAGTGTCCATACCACATATTTTTTTAGTTATTATTAGCATGCATATGCTCTGCAGTTACTGAGGCAAGTTGGAGCTAAACCCTGCAGAGCACTGGACCTCCAGGAAAGAGATTGGTTACCCCTGCTATAGGTGAATAGGGTAAGCTATTGTCAGTAGTGTGTGTGTGTGTGTGTGTGAATGAGAGTGTATGGATGTTTCCCAGTGATGGATTGAGGCTCGAAGGGCATCCTCTGGGTAAAACATATGCTGGATAAGTTGGCGGTTTATTCCGCTGTGGTGACCCCTGACCACAAAAAAAAAAAGAATAAATGACTATTGTTTATATTATTATTATTTGAAATAAAATCAATCATTTTGGCCATACTACAACGTATTTTTTACTATGAAAAACTTCACCACTGCAACGCCTAGAGTAAGGCTGGTTTTGTAAAGCACGGTCGCATCAAAATATCAATTATCGAAGCACAAAGTATACATTTTTTTTCCCGACAACCGCAGTATGCTAGTATGTTAAACTGTAGTTAGTTGGTACACACCGGTGAAGAGGCGGGAAAAGAGTTGATGAGTGACCAAAAAGTGTTGGAGGTGAAACACAGTTGTGCTAAATGTGTTGTGCAGGCTAGATTGAGCTGAAAATAACAAAATAGCATCTCCAAATAAAGCGCGAAAATTGAATTTAGGCTACCTTTACTAAGGTGAACGTCTGTGAGAGAAACAATAAACGGGGACATCTAGTGGACACACAAACCCACTGCATTTCTACAGTTTGGCTCATCTGTAAGTCAATGACGTTTTTGTTTAGTTTGTTCTGCGGATGTGTGACGGAATGTCCAACTTTGCAAAAGAGGCTGAATTTAACACAGCTTCATTTGGAGGTCCAGTCCAGGCCATCCGAGCGAGCACATTTATGCATGAACGCGTAGCACGTTTACAAATACAGAATTGTGGGACGCGCTTCTTTGGCCAGACGACGACAGAGCTGTGGACAGGCGGAGCATCAGTCCAGACCGCATAGTAATAATAACCCATTCATAAATCACAGCGGACGCTGGAGCGCGCAGCACTACTGTCTGCTGAGGACAACACACAACACTGAAACCATGCACTCCATAAGGTAAGCAAGAATCAGAACTTTTCTTTTCCAAAGTATATGAATCGTTCGCTGTTCATTAGAGTATTAGTTTTTTTTTTTTTTGTTTTTCGATATACAACAGAACAGCAGGATAGCCTATATCATTATCTAAATGCATTTAGGCTTTATTAGGCTATGTCTATACAAGTTTGATAAAACTGGTTCATATAATTTTAACATGCAGAATTGGGCAATTGTCACATGGAGAATTGTCAAATAAGTTTTCAAGGTGTCCCATTTACATTAACTGTTTTAAATTAAGATTAGTCATTTATCCAGTTACTGTGAGGTGGAATTTGTTTTAAAAACAACTAGCTACAAAATACATATGAATTCAATTTAAAGTGTACAAAAATCATGAATTACTATATTAATTATTTACACTATAAATTTTTTTCGATGTAGATAATACATTGTATTGGAGATTGCAGTCTGCATCACAAGTATTTATCTTTCTGTTTAGTTAATTGTTTTGTTTCACCGATATTTCTGGGAAAAGCCTTTAATATGCAATTTAATGGCAAAAGATGCTGTGGCAAAACAACAGAAAAATGCATCTTAATGTCTGAGCAATAATAATACATTTTTAGTAGATTGATTTTAAAGTTTGTGTATATACAGAAATTATTCAGTTCATTAAAAACTCTCCTAAATTAAATTCATTGTTAAATTCAATCAATGGTCTGATGTTTTATAATAGTTTAACTGATTTGATGAACTGTTTAATACTTATTGTACCACAAGAAAATCCTTATGAAAAAGATTCAGTTGTGATTACTTCATAAAGTCTGATTTGACTTAAATACAACTATTCCAGAGCAATTGCAATGGAAATGCATGGTGGTATGGCCGGGCAATATGGCAACAATGCAATCTTAATAATTATTTTCCAAATAGAACGATAACGATTTATATTTCAATATCGACCCTAACAATGACAGAAGCCACAATAATTAGATGGTCTACTAAATGGCATATCATATTTTTGGCCGATTTTTTTTTTTTTGGTGGCCGAAAATAATATCAACACACTTTAGAATCTCATCGTTGCACATTTCTGTTGTGTGATTGCCTCTTGGATCAATATAGAAAAGTCTAGAGCTTATCATTATGACATAAATTGTATCATGATTTGATATAATGTTGTTTATCGGCCCAGCCCTATATGGTAGCATTTATTAAAGACTTCAAAGTGTGTACATGCAGAAATGGTTCAAACTATTTTTTTTTTATTAAAAGTTATAAAAATTTTTTTGTAAAAGTTTGGTGATAATGATTTGACATTTATTATATTTTTGTGTTTCAGGATATTTGTGCTGATTCTTTAATTGTACACTGAACCGAGATATAATGGGACAACATGCCCCATGATTTATTTCAACTGCATCTTCAAAAACGCTAAAAATGTACATTTTATATTTTGTGTATATAAAAAACTAAAACAATATTCACTACAGTGAACTGTGTGACATTCTCTCTAACTTTATTTCCTTCATGAATAAATTAAATCTCAAAACATTTGCTCTGTGCTCAATTCCAGAAATTTCTTCTGTGGCCAGTGGAGCTCTTCAGTACGTCTGGATGAAAAAACAGTCATTATCACAGGAGCGAATACAGGCATTGGCAAAGAGACAGCTAGAGACCTTGCGAGAAGAGGTAAATAACAAACAAAAACATCATTTTGTATGTTTTCAAGACTTTTCAGCTCACTTTTGACCACAAAAGGAAAACCCTGTGAATGATCTGATGAAAGCTAAAAATAAATAAATAAAAGAACAACAGAGCAGATATTTCATCTTAAAAGACAGAGAGGCTTTTGAATGGAGGCTGTTAAATAAACAGGAGCATTGCAATGATCTGCCAAAGAGATGTAAAACTGTACTCTTACAAAACATTCATTATTAAAATCAATGTTGTTTATTATTACTGTTTTAAAGAGGCAAAAACAGATTTTATAGAAGATAGAGAGAGAGAGAGATAAATAGAGAGAGAGAGATATTTTTGATGCTGATAAATAAAAGAGAGGATTATGATACGATCTGGCAAAGAGATGTAAAACTGTACTCTTATAAAACATTCATTATTAAAATCAGGTAATATGAGTTAATATCTGAAGTGGTGGGAAAACAAGTATACTCTGGGCCTATTTTAGCTATATTTGGTGTCAGTAATGATGCAGAATTATCTAATAATCAACATACGGTGATTAGGTTTATAAACCTTTTGGCACATAGATTGATTTTACGTAGTTGGAAATGAAAAGATCCTCACCATTGCTCCACATTAATAAAAAATGTCATGTCTTGCCTGCAATTTCAGAAGCTAAGACTTCCTCTTAAAAATAAAACTAAGAATTTCTATGTATTATTGAATCCATTTATTGAGTACTTTAACGAGAGAGCAGTGATTGAATCCTAGTAGAAACACCTCAAATTGCCCCGTTATTTAGTTTTATTTTTAAATTTTCTTTCCTTTTCCTCTTCCCTTCACTTTTCTCTGTATTTTTTAGTTCTCATTCATTCATTCATATCCTTTTTGGCTTAGTCCCTTTATTAATCTGGGGTCCCCACACCAGAATGAATCGCCAACTTATGTTTTTTTTTTTTTAATACAGTCATTATTAAAATCCATGTTGTTTATTATTACTGTTTTAAGAAGCTTAAAAAAGCTTAAAAAAAAGAAAGAGCAGATATTTCATCTTAAAAGACCGAGAGGCTTTTACCAGCCTTGAATGGAAGCTGATAAACGTCAGGATTACAATACGATCTGCCAAGGAGATGTAAAACTCTTACAAAACATTCATTCATTCATTTTCCCTCAGCATAGTCTCCACAGTGAAATGAACCACCAACTTACCCAGCATATGTTTTACACAGTGGATGCCTTTCCAACTGCAACCCAGTACCGGGAAACATCCATACACACTCATTCACAAACACACTCATACACTATGGATAATTTAGCTTATTCAATTTACCTATAGCGCATATCTTTAGACTGTGGGGGAAACAGAAGCACCCAGAGGAAACCCACGCAAACAAGGGGAGTACATGCAAACTCCACAAATGCCAACTGGTCCAGCCAGGACTCTTGCTGTCAGGTGACAGTGCTAACCACTGAGCCACCCCTTACAAAAAATTCATTATTAAAATCAATATTGTTTATTATTACTATTATTACTAAGATAAAAAAGCTCAAATTAAAAAACAAACTAACAAGAGAGCAGATATTTCAACATAAATGACAAAAAGGCTTTTACAAGCCTTTTACAAGTCTCCACTTCACTTCCTAATCTGCAATTGCCTCTCTGGATATCACACTAACTGTACCCGACAAAAAAAAAAAAGTACTAATACTTTCCTTCTTAGACTTTACAGACCTGAAACTTGCCTATAGCACTTATTCATTGTTGCTCTTATAGTTGTGTAAATTGCTTCCTTGTCCTCATTTGTAAGTCGCTTTGGATAAAAGCATCTGCTAAATGACTAAATGTAAATGAAAAATGTAAAAACAAGCTTAGAATGGAGGCTGATAAACGACAGGATTACAATACAATCTGCCGAAGAAATGTAAAACTGTACTCTTTGAATGCAGTCATTATTAAAATCCATGTTGTTTATTAATACTGTTTTAAGAAGCTTAAAAAAAGCTATAAAAAAAGAGCAAATATTTAATCTTAAAAGACCGAAAGGCTTTTACAAGCCATGAATGGAGGCTGATAAATAAACGTCAGGATTACAATACGATCTGCCAAGAAGATGTAAAACTATTCTTACAAAACATTCATTGATTTATTTTCCTTCGCCTTACCCTCTTGGTTTTCAGAGGTCACCACAGTGGAGTGAACCACCACCTCATCCAGCATGTTTTACAAAGCGGATACCCTTCCAACTGCAACCCAGTACTGGGAAACAGTCATACAGACTCATTCACAAACACACTCATACACTACGAACAATTTTGTTCACCCAATTCACCTATAGCACATGTCTTTGGACTGTGGGGGAAACAGAAGCACCCAGAGGAAACCCATGCAAACACGGGGAGAACATGCAAACTCCACACAGAAATGCCAACTACCCCAGCCCGGGCTCAAATCGGTGACAAAATTAATAAAATAAAGAACAAAAGAGCAGATACTTCATCTGAAACAACAGAGAGGCTTTTAGAAGCTTAGAATGGAGGCTGGTAAATGAACGACAGGATTACAATACAATCTGCCTACGAGATGTAAAACTGTGCTTTTTGAATACAGTCATTATTAAAACCCATGTTGTTTACTGTTACTATTTTAAGAAGCTTAAAAGAAATAAAAAAAAGAGAGAAAATGTTTCATCTTAAAGGACAGAGAGGCTTTTACCAGCTATGAATAGAAGCTGATAAATAAACGAGAGTATTACAAGACAATCTGACAAAGAGATGTAAAACTGTACTCTTAACATTCATTATTAAAATCAGTGTTGTTTATTAATACAGAAAAAAAAACACTAAAAAAGAGAGAGCAAATATTTCATCTTAAAAGACAGAGAGGCTTTTACAAGCTTTGTATGGAGGCTGATAAATAAACGACAGGATTACAATATGATCTGCCAAAGAGTTGTAAAACTGTACTCTTTGAAAAGAGTCATTATTAATATCCATGTTGTTTATTAGTACTATTTTAAAAAGCTCACAAAAATAGGTTAAAAAAAGAGAGAGCAAATATTTCATTTTAACAGACCAAGAGGCTTTTACAACCTTTGAATTGAGGCTGATAAACAAACGACAGGATTACAATACGATCTGCCAAAGAGATGTAAAACTGTACTCTTTCCCACATGGAGCCGCTGAATTCCAACAAAGAAAGTCTGATGCTTGCCAGCCAAATTGCTCTGAATAGTTTAATGGACGTTCTGCACAGTAATTACCAAGCAAACAGCTATTGTGTGAGCTCATCAGCCTTACATCCCGCTTTAGCACCACATTAATTATTATGCGAGGGCATTTCACAGCAAGGACATTTGCCGGAACATGCAAACACAATTATTTCAGATGCATGAAGGATATGTGCTCTTTTTTGAGTGAAATTGTCCGTGACTGTTTGCAGGTTTTTATCAGCTCTTTTATGTGTTGTCCTCAGGGGCGAGAGTCATCATGGCCTGTCGAGACCTCGAGAAGGCAGAGGCTGCCAGAAGAGAATTAATGGACAATTCTGCAAACCAAAACATTGTGGTGAAAAAACTTGATTTAGCCGATACCAAATCCATCAAAGCATTTGCAGAGCTCATAAACAAGGGTGCGTAGAACATTTGAATATCATATGAAGGAATATAATAAATTATATAATATAATATAATATATTATAATGTAACGTAACATAACATAACATAATATAATATAATATAATATAATATAATATAATATAATATAATATAATATAATATAATATAATATTCATTCGTTTATTTTCTTTTCGGCTTAGTCCCCGGCTTAGTCCCTGGGGTCCCCACAGCGGAATGAACTGCCAACTTATCCAGCATATGTTTTATGTAGCGAATGCCCTTCAGGTGCAACCTATCTCTGGGAAACATCCATACACACTCATTCACACTCATACACTACGGACAATTTAGCCTACCCAATTCACCTGTAACGCATGTCTTTGGACTGTGGGGAAACCGGAGCACCCAGAGGAAACCAGCGAATGCAGGGAGAACATGCAAACTCCACACAGAAATGCCCCACTGACCCAGTTGAGGCATCTACTGTGCCACCGAGTTGCCATAATATAATATAATATAATATAATATAATATAATGTAATGTAATGTAATGTAATGTAATGTAATGTAATATAATATAATATAATATAATATAATATATCACAACATGTCTTTATTTATTTTTTTTTCAGAAGAAAAGCAAGTCAATATTCTGATCAATAATGCTGGAATCATGATGTGCCCATATTCAAAAACAGCGGATGGCTTTGAGATGCAGTTTGGAGTAAACCATTTAGGTAAAAGCATTTTTTTGCTATTTCATTTATGTATTACAATAAAAAGTGACAATATCTATCTGTTCCAAACACAATTAGACATGTTAAATCATGAAACATGAGCTACAAACATGTTAAAGTTTAAATGAAGTTAGGAAGATTTTTGGACAAGCTATTTTTGGACAGAAATCTTATAAATGCACAGGATTTACAGTCACATTAAGTCCATTTAAAACATCATTGCACAATGAACGTATTTATTTATACGTATACACATAAAAAGTGTTTTGAGTGTTTAAAAAAAAAATAGAAAATGTAAAAAAAAAAGAAAAAAATTAAGAAACTTAGAAAAAAGTTTCAGATGGCACAAGACTTTCTCATCTGAACTCTTTATATATACAGTTAAAATCAGAATTATTACTCCCCCCCCCCCCCCCCCTTTTTTTTAAATATATCCCAAATGAAGTTTAACAGAGCAAGGAAACTTTCACAGTATGTCTGGTAATATTTTTTTCTTCTGGAGAAAGTCTGGTTTATTTTATTTCGGCTAGAATAAAAGCAGTTTTTATTGTTTAAAAAACAGGTCAAAATTATTAGACTCTTTAAGCTATATATTTTTCGATAGTTTACAGATGTGCCAACAAAATTTTCTCTCTGTTAAACAGAAATTAGGGGAAAAAATAAACAGGGGTACTAATAATTTGGGGGTGGGGGGTAATAATTCTGACTTCAACTGTATACACATACACACACTACCTCATAAAAAACTTGTCGCCTATAAGTTTTAGGGCTTGACTTGATAAGTTTTTAACTTGACTTCTAGTTGATCATTTTGTATCAGAAGTGGCTTATATGAAAGGCAAAGGCCTCTAGATTACGCTTATTTTACCACAATATAAAATACCATCATGCCTTGATTTTTAAAGATTTAATTAGGACAGTAAGCTCTGACTTTGCCTAGACAAAAGACTTGTGACTGAACAGAAATAATGTACAGAATAAAATATAAAGTCATGGTGCAGTGAAAAAATAATGAATATTGTATGACTCCCATGAGCTTGGAGGACTGCATCCATACATCTCTGCAGTGACTCAAATAACTCATTAATAAAGTCATCTGGAATGACAAAGAAGTGAAGTTTATGTATAAACAAATTTCGAGAGGATCACGTGCTTATGATTGCTAGCAGCTGACCCGCATTATCCAATTCACTACTATCCAACCAGATGACTCCTAAACTACTATAAATACCCTGGGGTTTATTCCATTGCTATCTTCGTTTTGAAGAGGCAGCTTCACCGTAGCTAGCTCCGTTGAAGAACCTACTCTAAACCAGCATGGACAACCAAAGCATCTACAAGCTATCACCTACCAGCTATCACCTACCAGCTACAATCTACCAGCTACCATCTACAAATTACCAGCTATAATCTACAAGCTACTAGCTATAATTTACAAGCTACAATCTACAGCAGCAACAACAACTGCAGCAACAACAACTGCAGCAACAACAACTGCAGCAACAACAACTACTACTTCAAAACAACTCCAACAATTGCATCAACGACTTCAACAAACATCAAACCTTCCACTTCAACGCATCCGCTGTGTCTTCAACCCTATTCTCCAGCAAATGACAGCCAAAAACTCCAAAGCCATTGCAATGAAACTGAACCATTACCTTTTTCCTAGCGGTGCACATGCTATGCACATGAAGGGAAGCTTTGCAAAATAACTTTACCAAACATTTAGACTAAAACATTTATAAATCTTTTGAATAACAAGACTAGTGTAAACAATGATTTTAACTAAAGATACTCGCCTCTTGCCCGTCCACTGATCCATAACATCTAACAGCTTGTTTGCCGGAATGTTCAGCAAGCAACAGCTCAAGCCATAAACAATGGTGAACTTGATCAACAAAATGGCCGCCGGGCTTTTTCACCTTTGGCACGCTTGACTGGCTCTCCTTCAAGCCAATAGCTGTAAGGAGAAGCTTCACCACCCAATAAGCTCTCTGGAGAAGGTCCTGCCCTCTCTCTTGACTCTGTTGCAAGTCTTATGAATGAATTTGGACCAGACAAGCTTGTGAATGAAGTTAAGATACCAACAAATGTTATTCATGGATTAAAGTAAAGCCAATTACTAACATTCCATTCACAGTTTTACTAAATGGTGACATCGCCCTTGAAGTCTTATAGAGTTCAGAGTTTGATGTTAGCAATTAAAAAAAAAAAAAAAAAAAAAAAATAATAATAATAATAAATAAATAAATAAATAAATTATACACAGAGCACTGGGGTCCAATTACACTAGACCAGTGACTCATTTATTCATACACTAGTGTCTTACGTAAGCTTATAATGGCAAGTCAGTTGGATGTGAAACAGCAACAAACAACTTCCTGATTGGCTGCTATGAATAGGAGGACATTTCTGACAACGGAACTTCAATATACACTTCCAGGACCACCAGACAAACCATACCCCTTATCCTCAGCTCTCCATCCAGTTGCCATTCTGTGGGGGGATGAATGCTCACCTCTACCATCCTTGCACGTAGCGACATCAAGCTATCAGACCATGCATTAATAAAAAGACCATGACATTTGGCTGCAGAACCTGACCCTCATCCAACCCATTACATTTTATATGCTCTTCAAATACAATCACACTCTACATAAAGGATGCATTTCCACTCACATAGCTCACATCCACGATGCCATATTTCTCAAATTGCTTGAATTGCATTGTCACCCTGATACTAACTTCTGATTTCTGATTTCAGATCTAACCCAAGGATCTAACCCGGGCGTTCCAGCTCTCCCTTCCTTAACCTTATTCTGCTCCAATCTACAATCTGCGACTACCGAACCTGCAACAGTGAATTCGTTAATCAAAAAGAATCGTTAATAAACTCATGATAGTACTATTCTTGCCCCACTGTTCAGCGTTCGTGTATTAGTCCTATTGACACTGCGACTTGAGAATTCTCTAGCAAAAACCCTTGATTATTGGTCTCCGCTCCTCACAATTCTATATTCCTAGCATTAACAGCACCATTCCATCAGACGAATACTCGCTGAATTATCATGATATAGACCAAGCAATTTCGCTCATCAGCTTAGCCGGCCGCAATGCTTGGCTTGCAAAAATAGACATTTCATCCGCCTTTAAAATCATGCCAATTCACCCAGACTTCTGGCACCTTTTTGGCATTCATTGGCGCTCACAATTTTACTTTGCAGTCCGATAAACTTTCGGCTGCAAAAGTAGTCCTAAAATTTTCGATATGCTTAAGAAGCATTATGCTGGATTTTATCTAATAACTACGAAATCCCGCATATCATCCATCTCCTCAATGATTTTCTCCTTATTTCCCTACCTTCTCACCCCCAGCTGAACACCTATCGATCACCCAAAGGTTTTCGAAAATCTAGGCATCCCCCTCGCAGAGGAGAAACAGCCGGTCCCAGCACTTCCATAGAATTTCTGGGCATCAACTTAGATTTGAATAAATTTCAAGCATCCCTTCCCAAAGAAAAGATTGACCGTATAATCTCTTTATCTCAAATTTTCCTCGAGAAACCATCATGCACCAAACGCGAACTGCTATCTATTCTCGCGCATTTCAATTTCGCGATGCGCATAATTCCCCAAGGCCGCCCGTTTATTACTCACCTCCTTCAGCTCTCCACCTCGGTCCCCGGTTTAGAAGATACCATATATCTTTCTAAACCCAGTCGCAATGAACTCAGCTTATGGATCTCCTTCCTTAAGCAATGGAACGGCTGTTCCTTTTTCTATAGCGACCTAATTTCTTCCCCGGTGGATATTAATTTATTCACTGACTCTGCCCCCTCAGTCGGGTTCGGCGGCTTTTACCAAGGTCACTGGTTTACTTCAACGTGGCCCGCAGATACTCAGTCTACCCAGAAATCAGCAATCATCTGCGCTTTCGAACTATACCCCATAGTCGCAGCAGCGGTTTTTATGGGTAGATGAATGGTCCGCCTCTAGCATTCTCGTTCATTGCGACAACGAAGCCACCGTTTATTGCATTAATAAAGGACGCTCGCACGCACTTCCAATTATGCCCTTACTAAGACGCCTCGTTTGGACGGCAGCCAAAAGCAATTCATTATGACTGCTAGACATGTTCCAGTTTGCAAAAATCAAATTGCTGATTCTCTCTCTCACTTTCTTTTCCAGAAATTTCGGCTCTTGGTACCGGAAGCAGACCAGCATCCAACACCTGTTCCACTCTATTAACAATGATATTGCCATAAAACTTCCATATCTCTGATCCTTTACGCTGTCGCACCAAGGACCCTTGAGTCATATTCAGAAATGGCTATCACATCCAATTTCAATCCCGCAATACACCCCACTATATCTGATCTAACACTGCTGAATGCTGAAACACTCGCCTTTTTCATTAAGCAAAGCAAAACAGATCAGATAAGCAAAGGGCATTTTATTTACATTTTTAACATATTTTCCCCACTCAGCCATTCCAAACTCTCCTAGCTTTCTCCATTCAAGGAGAGCAAAAGAGTCTGACCCACATGCCCCACTTTTTACTGATGACGCTAACCGTCCAGTAACCCGTTTTTGGTTTCAAAAACATCTAAAAGAAGTCCTTCGCCTTTCGGGCTTTTCCCCCGAATTGTATTCCAGCCATTCATTTAGAATTGGCGCAGCCACCACAGCAGCTCACAAAGGTCTATCCCCACACCAAATCCAGACCCTAGGCCGCTGGTCCTCCGATGCCTTCAAAGCTTACATTCGCCTCAGCCGATCCCACCTCAAGACAGCCCAGCTAGCCCTAATCAGCTAAATTCCAAACTCCAACTAGGGGTACGAGCTCGACCCTAAGTAGGCTGGAGTACGTGTGTGTGTGTGCTTGCGTATGGGTGCGCATGGAATGTGTGTGATTGCTCGCGCAAAGACAGCGTGCGTTTGCACACATACACATGCATGTTGCACGCAGATATGCATGGGTACAGGTGTACGTCTAAGTATGCATATGTGCGTGCAAACAATGAGTATGTGAACATAGGGGCACTACATGTTGTGCAGGTTGCATGTATGCTCTTAACTTTCCTTTCAAACCTACTATGCTCCTTCCCTCACCATGCTCTGACCCCCGCAGGGGTTCAATCCGAATTCGACTCTCGCGAGTCACCCCTAGCCCATCCCCGGCCACCCCTTCACTACCACCCCCAGTAAGAGCCTGCACTACCCTCTCCCTCTTCCCGACTCTTACTGCCCCCCCCCCCATAGCTCTGACCCCCGCAGGGGTCGCGCTGAGCTTCGACTCTCGCAAGAGTCACCATTTGCGCCCCACCCAGGCCATTAGAAATGGTATGTATGCGCATGTTATACGCATACATCCGATGTATACCTGTACCGATGCGTGTGCATGCACATGCCGAAACAGGAATAGACGCACGTGCATGCTCACGCACGCAGGTTATCCCCTCTCTCCTTTTCTTCCTTTGGCGTCGAGTTCCTCCGCCCTCTCTTCCTTTCTCATAGGCCATCAATCCTCAGCTCTAACTCCCGCAGGAGTGACTAAAACGAGCTTCGACTCTCGCAAGAGTCCCGCCCCGGCCACCCCCTGCTGCAGTCTCCACCGCCCCCTCCCTTTCCCAGACTTCAGCAGGGGAAATGCCCACAGCAGCTCTGACCCCCGCAGGGGTCGCTCCGAGCTTCGACTCTCGCAAGAGTCAATCACCACCCACGCCCGGCCCTTACCATGTAATAACCATATATATTCATATATATTTATATATGCATATATACTTCTATATTCTCCTTTTCTTCTTTCTGGCGTTGAGATTCTCCGCCTGGCAATTATTTGCCCCTTCTTTCTTCCTTACAGCGTGAGTGCTTCCGCTACTTTTACCCTTCTCTGATCTTCCCCCTTATCTCCTTACCCTCCTATTTCCTCAATTCTTTTCCAGCGTTGAGTCCTCCGCTAACTGTCTTTCTTCAGCGTCACTCTTTCGCTATGTTCTTCCTTACGCATAGGCCCTCAATCCTCAGCTCTAGCCCCCGCAGGGGCGACTAAAACGAGCTTCAACTCCCGCAGGAGTTCAGGCCCTGGCCACCTCCCACCCTCTCATGCAAGAGTCTCCACCGCCCAAATCTTCCCGACTCTTGCTTGAGCAAACTAACCCCAGCTCCCACCCCCGCAGGGGTGTATATATTTGAGCCTTGACTCCCGCGGAGTCTATCCAGCCCTGCCCCCACCCCGCCTAAGCTCTAGCAGCCTACTTTGCTCTGCTCCCTTAGAAGCTTCTCTTCCTAAGCTATCAACGCTATATCCAGTAGCCGGATATGGCTTGTTACACCTGCTTTTTGGGGGGCTCTTCAATACGCGGCTGCTGTCCCGAGCTATTCAAAGGCATTTTTGGGGAGTTCCCGAGATCTACCTGAGCTCAAACTCCCCTCCCGCTTTGCAACGGGAGGGAGTCCTGGGCTCGAGGATCTCATGAGCTCAGGGCTCTCTCCCGGGACAGCATGCCAAACAAGCTTATAATTAATCATCAGCTAAGTGTGAACTCTTGAAGTGAAGTTTATGTATAAACAAATTTCGAGAGGATCACGTGCTTATGATTGCTAGCAGCTGACCCGCATTATCCAATTCACTACTATCCAACCAGATGACTCCTAAACTACTATAAATACCCTGGGGTTTATTCCATTGCTATCTTCGTTTTGAAGAGTCCCCCCTTCCTCCCCTACGCCTCCTTCTTAGACGGGTGACACGGTGGCCCAGTGCCTAGCACTGTCGCCTCACAGCAAGAATGTCTCTGGTTCCTGGCTCTACCAAAACTAGCAGACATTTCTGTGCGGAGTTTTGCACTTCTCCCCGTGCTCACGTGGGTTTCCCCCGGGTTCCCCGGTTTCCTCCCACCACCCAAAAACATGCAATTAAGCCAATTGAACAAGCCAAATTGTCAACATAGACACGCTCCTAGTTAGTAATTAGTTTCAAGAGCATTCACTTGCTACAGCAGGGGAGTTCCCGAGATCTACCTGAGCTCAAACTCCCCTCCCGCTTTGCAACGGGAGGGAGTCCTGGGCTCGAGGATCTCATGAGCTCAGGGCTCTCTCCCGGGACAGCATGCCAAACAAGCTTATAATTAATCATCAGCTAAGTGTGAACTCTTGAAAGTGTGTATATGAAGAAATGGAGACAGTCAATTTTTTTTACTTTTTTTTTACAACAACCCAGAAACAATTAAGAAGTAATCAATACTCAGTTCATCTAATCGATACTGTTACCCTGAAAGTGACCTCTTTCAAAACAAGCACCAATTGTATGTAGAAGTCAAGCTTTCATCACTCAAGTCTCAGACTTCCAACCAATGTGAAGTATTTGAATCCTCTAATTGACAGTTCATGCTGTTTAATCATTCACCAGCCCAGTTGACTTCCTGTTGCAACCTAAACACTCACATATAGCTCACATCCTTCCCATACACATCCACTTCCATGCATTTATTAAGTAAAGGCAAATAAAGCACAGAGGGGTCAACAGGACATGAGAAACAATGAAAGGTCAAACAACTCCCTGACTATTTTTATCCTCTCCAAACTCCCTCCAGGTCATTTTCTGCTCATTTACCTTCTGCTGGACCTCCTAAAGAAATCAACCCCCTCCAGGATCGTCAACGTGGCATCTGTGGCCCATACTTGGAGTGGCATCCATCTGGAGGACATAAACAGTGAGAAGGTTTACTCTCCACGCAGGGCTTACGGACAGAGCAAACTAGCCAACATCCTCTGCACACGCTCCTTGGCTAAAAGACTACAGGGTATGTGACCTTCACAGCACGGCTGTCAGAGCCAGACTAAACATCAAGCTAAAGAAGACAAACTTGTGTCTTGTTTGTCTTCTTTCTGTTAAACTCTGGTTGAGTTGGTATTCATGCAGGTACAATGTGATGGTAAATTGCATATTCTTCCTGTTAGATTATATAAACTTACGCAAAAAAAAAAAAAAAGAAAAAAAAACAGGACACAGAGGGAGAGCAAAGTTCTTGGTTAAAACGGATATTAGTGTTCTCTTATGAATATAAACATATACAAAATGTCCTGTTTTGGGCTTATCGCTATAGCTGTGTTTCCTTTGACCTAGTTTAAAGTGCATTTTGGAGTATTGCATGAAAGATTATGGAAATACCATAAATATAATAAATTCCCATTGATTTTTACTAACTGTGTAGGACAATATTTTTATCTGATAAGAACAATACTTAAACTACAATAGAAACACATTTATCAAGTCTAGCATGTGCATCCAAAATGTATGTGATTTTGTTTTAACAGATCATGTGATGGTAAAAAATGGGTGCGATAGGACAACATTAATGGACAAACCAGTGGACTGGCCTCTTTGTAAAACATCTGAAATGTTGTTTTGGTCATTCTAAAATTCCTCAGCCAAAGTCTATCATCACAGAGGTTCAGGATATTACCTCAAAACTGCTGTGCTCCCAAAGAGTGGTTTCACCTCCAAATGTCACTGCACGTTCATTGTATTTCACCTTCTGAGGCGCCAGTAATTATATAAGAAAAAGGCCCACAGTGGCTTCTCCTACCATGTTGTGGTATTTTTTCTTTTTCACATTTGCCGCCAGTTCATCAGGAAGAGTTTATTTTGTGTTCTTTGACTCGTTGAATGGAAAGGTGCTTTATTCATAAATGTTTTAGGCAATATTCCAGTTCTCAGTTCAGATTGATTATTATTTTGTTATACAGTATTCCTCTCCAGTTTTCTAAATTCCAGATGCAAACATATGATAAGTACTGATTGTGCTTATGTGGCAAATCAAGCTCATGATGTAATAGATGATTTTGCGATCTGTTCACACAGCAGAAATTCTGATAAATGCATAAGACATTCAAAATTAATTATAGCAATAACATTATTGTATGTTATATTCATTCATTCCTTCATTTTCTTTTTAGCTTAGTTCCTTTATTAATCTGGGGTTGTCACGCAGCAGAGTGAGCCGCCAACTTATCCAGCAAATGTTTTACGCAGCGGATGCCTTTCCAGCTGCAACCCAACACTGGGAAACACCCAAAGACTCCTGCCTTTACAGACATACACTACAGCCAATTTAGCTTATTCAGTTCATCTATAGCGCATGTCTTTGGACTGTGGGGGAAACCGGAGCACCTAGAGGAACCCCTAGCCAACATGGAGGAGAACATGCAAACTCCGCACAGAAATGCCAACTGACCCAGCCAGGGCTCAAACCAGCGACCTTCTTCCTGTGAGGCAATCATGCTATATATTATAAAGTTAAAATCAGAATTATTAGCCCCCTTGAATTATTAGCCCTTCTGTTAATTTTTTCCCCCAATTTCTGTTTAACGGAGAGATTTTTCCAACACATTTCTAAACATAATAGTTTTAATAACTCATTTCTATTCACTGATTTATTTTATCTTTGCCCTGATGACAGTAAATAATATTTGACTAGATATTTTTCAAGACACTTCTATACAGCTTAAAGGTACATATAAAATGGCTTAACTAGCTTAATTAGATTAACTAGGCAGGTTAGGGTAATTAATCAAGTTATTGAATGAAGATGTAGGCTATCGAAAAAAAAAATAGCCTAAAGGGGCTAATAGTTTTGATCTTAAATGGGTTTTTTAAAAATTAAAAGCTGATTTTATACAAGCCAAAATAAAACAAGACTTTCTCCAGAAGAAAAAATATTATCAGACATACTGTTAAACATCATTTGGGAAATATTTAAAAAGGAAATAAATTCAAAGGGGGGCTAATATTTCTGACTGTATAACTGTATATAGTAAACTATATTAATTTTATAGTACTTTCGTATGATTTCAATGCAGTTTTACTGTGTAATTTGTGCACTTTATAAACAAGAGTAAAAATGATCAAAGGTGACTGTCAGGGTGATTCATACAGACTTTAAAGTTATCATTAACAAAAGTAATTCCCACCTTTATTGTAGTGAAATAAAGTAATTATCTACTTCCACAATGGGGCTTTATGTAGATTCTAAAAGATTTTTAAGTCAACTGTTTATGACAAAGATAGAAGAGGGAGTATGGAGAGGAATACTGTATTACACTGTATGAATAATCAATCTGAACTGAGAACTGCTCAAATTAATAAAAAAGATGGATGGACAGATGTACAGACAGAGACAGACAGATAGACAGACGGACAGACAGATGGACAGACAGACAGAAAAAATAGAGGGATAGACAGACAGATAATAAGACATAGATAGACAGATAATCAGACAGACAGATGGACAGATGGACAAACAGATATTCAGATGGACAGATGGAAGGATGGACAAACAGATATTCAGATGGACAGATGGAAGGATGGACAAACAGATATTCAGATGGACAGATGGGTGGATGCATGGATGGATGGATGGATGGATGGATGAATCAGACAGGCAGACAGACAGAAAGACAGTAGGATGGACACGAACAGACAGATAATGAGACTAAGATAAAAAGACAGGCGGACAGATGAACAGACAGACAGATGGACAGAAAAACAGACAGGCAGACAGAAAAATGGATAGGCAGCCAGAGAAAGACAAACAGACAAATCGACAGATGGAGAGACACACGGATAATCAGACAAACAGGCGGACAGATGGATGGACAATTGGATGGATGGAATTACAGGCAGACAGAAGGATGAATAGACAATCAGAAATAGACAAACAGACAATCTGACAGATGGCTAGACAGACAGATAAACAGATGGACAGCCAGATAGACAGAAAAATGTAAGGACGGCCAGACAGACAGACAGATAATAAGACATGGATGGACAGACAGATAATCAAACAGAGAGATTGACGGTTGGATGGATGGACAGACATAATCAGACAAACAGACAGATGGACAGACTGATGGATGGATGCATGGATGGATAGACAGACAGACAGACAGACAGGCAGGCAGGCAGACAGAAATACAGTTTGATGAACACAGGCAGACAGATAATAAGACAAAGATAGACAGACAGATGGACAGACAATCAGAGATAGAAATACAGACAGACAGACAGACAGACCAGACATACCAGACAGAAAATAAGACATTGATAGAGGAATGGACAGATTAACAGACAGATAATCAAACAGACAGACACAGATAGATAGATAGATAGATAGATAGATAGATAGATAGATAGATAGATAGATAGATAGATAGACGGACGGACGGACGGACGGACGGACAGGCAGGCAGACAGAAATACAGTTTGACGAACACAGGCAGACAATAATAAGACAAAGATAGACAGGGACAGACAAACAGACAAACAGATGAATAATTAGACAAATGGAAAAAAACAGGCGGACAGACAGACAGATGGACAGACAATCAGAGATAGAAGTACAGACAGACAGACAGACAGACAGACAGACAGACAGACAGACCAGACATACCAGACAGAAAATAAGACATAGATAGAGGAATGGAAAGATTAACAGACATATAATCAGACAGACAGACAGACAGACAGACAGACAGACAGACAGATAGATGGATGGATGGATGGATGGATGGATGGATGGATGGATGGATGGATGGATGGATGGATGGATGGATGGATGGATGGATGGACAGGCAGGCAGACAGAAATACAGTTTGACGAACACAGGCAGACAATAATAAGACAAAGATAGACAGACAGACAGACAGACAGACAGACAGACAGACAGACAAACAGATGAATAATCAGACAAATGGAAAAACAGGCGGACAGACAGACAGATGGACAGACAATCAGAGATAGAAGTACAGACAGACAGACAGACAGACAGACAGACAGACAGACCAGACATACCAGACAGAAAATAAGACATAGATAGAGGAATGGAAAGATTAACAGACATATAATCAGACAGACAGACAGACAGACAGACAGACAGACAGAGATAGATAGATAGATAGATAGATAGATAGATAGATAGATAGATAGATAGATAGATAGATAGATAGATAGATAGATGGATGAATGGACAGACAGATCAATATGAATCATTTGTACAGTGTGTAATCCAGCTGTGGTAATAACATCTGATGTTCCTCTAGGCAGTGGTGTGAATGTCTACTCTCTCCATCCTGGTGTGGTTCAGTCAGAGCTGTTCAGAAACCTCAGCAAACCTGCGCAGATCGCATTCAAGGTCTTCAGCCCCTTCACCAAGACCACCAGTCAGGGAGCACAGACCACCATCTACTGCGCCATAGAGCCCGAACTGGACAGAGAGAGCGGAGGATATTACAGGTACAGAACATGGTATTATTGGAAAATACACTGCACAATGCAAAACCCATTATTGACTTTACTTTCATGTCCCAGTGTGCACAAGAAATACAGCTCTTGAACTGCTTTATAATGATCATGAAGTGTGCTTACTTTAAAGATAGAATAAAGATGTTAAGCTAGGTGTACGAATGATCAAAGTCTGATTTTAAGCCTGAGGATCTGCTTTGTTTCAGTGACTGTGGCCCGGCTCAGTGTTCAAGAGAAGCTTCAGATGATGAAATGGCTCAGAAACTCTGGGAACTGAGCTGTCAGATGCTCGGCATTATATGGGATTGATAGAGCGCTCCTCTTAGTGACAATGATGTAAGATTGGAATGAAAGCTTTTGTGCTAATGTCAAAGATAACCCAAACTCTAGAACTCATACAATGCATGCCTGAATCAACACTATACTGTATGTATTATATTGTATATTAAATACTGTTTTTTAATACTTTTGCCGATGCTGTTATAATTTCACAAGACATAATGAACTGTTATGAATTAAAATATATTTGAGATTATTAAATATTTTTATCATGCATTTGCAATTGTTTCTTTACTGAAAAGCTCTAATGCACGTATAAAATGACGTTTGCTTTTTGTACAAAATGTTTATTTAAAATCAGCTGAAACAACACAATTCTTGATTTTTTTATACTTAATTGTTCATGTTTAATCTACTCAAATTTGTAAAAACTAATAAGTTAACTTAATTCCTTCATCTTGTCCCAACTGAAATTTGCTGAAAGAAGTTGATTGTGTTTAACCTGCCATTTTTTTTATTTTTTTACAGTGTATTCAGTCAACAAACTAAACTGAAGAGCTAATATGAGCTATGATTTTTCAGGATGGTTGTCTTTCTGCTGGTTTATATAGAAAACATGTTCCCTTGATCAATACTTGTGAGATTTAAACTCAGAACAACAAGTTGTAAACTTGTAATTGCAAGAAAAGGTGGAGATCTAAACTGTCCAGTCCTGCAGACTCAATGCATTTAGGTCAAGACGATCCTGCTGCTGTTTAAACTGAGCATTACAATATGGAATTAAGATGATTTAAGTGACTTTGATCATGGCATGGTTGTTGATGCCAGATGGGCTGGTATTTCAGAAACTGCTGATTTACTGGGATTTTCACTCATAACCATCTCTAGGGTTTACAGAGAATGGTCAGAAAAAGAGAAAATATCCAGTGAGCGGCAGTTCTGTGGACGCAAATGTCTTGTTGATGCTAAAGGTCAGACAAGAATGGCCAGACTGGTTTGATCTGATAGAAAGGCAACAGTAACTCAAATAACCAAGCATCTCTGTATGCACAACGCGTTGAACCTTGAGGCAGATGGGCTACAGCAGCAAAAGACCACACCGGGTGCCACTACTGTCAGCCAAGAACAGGAAACTGAGGCTACAATTTGCACAGGCCAACAAAAAGGCTGCTGCTGGTGGTGTAATGGTGTGGGGGATATTTTCTTGGCACACTTTTGGCCTATTAGTACCAATTGAGCATCGCATCAACGCCACAGCCTACCTGAGTATTGTTGCTGACCATGTCCATCCCTTTATGACCACAATGTATCTTCAGATGGCTTCCAGGATAATGTGCCATGTCATAAAGCATGAATCATCTCAGACTGGTTTCTAGATCATGTCAAAGAGTTCACTTTACTCAAATGGCCTCCACAGTCACCAAATCTCAACCCAATACAGCACCTTTGAGATGTGGCGGAATGGGAGATTCACATCATAACGTTAGAGTTAGATGTGCAGAAGTGACCGGTGAGTGTAGCATATGTTATAAAACCTAACGGAAAAGAAAACTTTTAGATTATTTTTTGAATATAGAGCTCTATAAAACTGAAATTGTGATATATAATGTTAGTTGTCCGGATTTACGTACAAATCATTTTACACACCGTACAGATGACACGCATATCTAATCAGCTGCAGTAATGATGATGTGGACAACTCGCTGAGCTCATACATCCAGCCGCTAGGTGTCAGCACGCAAGTCACTATGAGAAGGAGTTTTGAGCCAGTGCGCATGCGTCAGTCTTAGAGCTGCGTCAGTCTTTCTGCAGTTAAATCTACGTGGCGTAACACACAGCGGAGTCAGTCTGCGTTCAGCTGGACCACCGCTTTATCCTTTGATTTGCCAACACAGGTAAGTTTCTTTTCGTCGATTTTGTCTCTTTACGAATCTATATTAAGTAAAGAATGTTGGATTAAAACAGGTAATACGTTACATTTGGCACCGCTGAGTTTCAGTGTGACGTAAACACTGTTTCTGATTGATCAGTAATGACCGTCAAGCTTATATTACTAATATGAGATGGAGAGTACTTTACTGTTAGACCATTCTTTTCTAATATTGGAAAGTAGATACACTGAAAAATATTATTAAAGTCATCCAGTTTACAGGTTTTTATCCAGAGCATAGCATCCAGGCTAACAGTGCTAGGTTAGCTAACGTTAGTTTTTCTGTAGAACATTACGTTAGTCAAATAGGCAGTTAAAGACTTTCAGTTAACTTGGTTCATCAAGTTAAACATTTAATAACTGGGACCTTTTAATAGTGTCATTAAATAATTTCCTGGAAATAATAATTGTCTCTGTGTTTGGGTTTCGAGGTAACGTAACTTAGAGGGCTAATGGGTCTGAAAAAGATAAGTTAATAATTATATTAAGCCATATCATTTTTGAACTGTTTATAAGTTTCCTCTGTTAGATCTCGATATAGTGGCACAGACATGTTTGTGGTTCGTTTTGATGTGAAATGAATGTTTTTTTTTTCTTCCGCTAGCCTCATTTCAAGATGGATCAGGTCATGCAATTCGTGGAGCCTAGCAGGCAGTTCGTCAAAGACTCTATCAGACTCGTCAAAAGATGCACAAAACCAGACAGAAAAGGTATGTCCTGTTTTCATTTGGATCCAAAGATTAAATTAAATTTAATTAGAACTAACATTTTGGTTTAAGCAGACATTCTCACTATTAGCTTGTGGCTTATTACCTGTCTATTATTAAAATATTGACTATTAGTATCCCTTACCCTAACCAATACCCACAGGTAACTAGCTCCTTAACTGTTAATAAGCAACAGATCACAAGTTTGAGACAAAACTTTTAGTTGATGGTTTGTTTGTTGTCACTTTTTATGGTACAATTCTTGCTGCTATGTAGATAAAGTAATTTAATAACATTTATAAGAGAACATATTCAGTCATTTCATGAAGGAAAAACAAAACGGACAAAGCCTGTTCACATGAAGAGCACTACTGTGTCCACATCAACACACAATAACATTATTTTGACTTTAACCACCATAATCATGAAAAATATTATAATAAAGAGCGTTTTTATGTCCTGAAAATAATAATTGGTCATTAAAAAGCAATCTGGATGTTGAAGTTTAATGTTTATTTCAGCAAATAATGATTTCAAAACATTGTCTTGTATAAAAAATGTAATGTAAGCTTGTCTAAAAATGTGTCATTTTTTTTTATTTACTGACAACCTATTAAGTTTGTAGAGTAAAACAACCTTCAAGCCGTCTCTTTACGATTACTGATTCTAACTTATTTATTCTTAGCCATTATGGTGACATCATGTACGGCCTTAAAAGTAGGACCTCCAAATGTTCCCACTACAGAAAAATGGCATTTTAAAACAATCAAAAACATTTAATGTTGTTCATTTCATGTGTTTTTGTTTCACTAAATACAGATGCCCAGTTGCTTTGTAAATTATCTTTAATTATAAAATATTAAAAAAAAGATGGTGCATCACTCATTATTTGTTTGTGATGTGTAAAGAATGCAAATCTATGCTTTCATCAATCGAATTGTAGAATGATATTTGGAAACAACACGGGTCTTGTGCTATATTAATGGGTGTTTAAAAAAATGTAGCTCTCAATCTGTAGACTATCTAGAATGCTTTATTTAGCATGTATTTCACAGTTTACATGCACCTAAGTTAATTTTTCATTGATGTATTCCCCCCCTGCTCTCTAGAATTCCAGAAGATCGCGATGGCAACAGCGATTGGATTTGCCATCATGGGCTTCATTGGATTCTTTGTCAAACTCATCCACATCCCCATCAACAACATCATTGTGTAAGTAATCCACACTAAAAATCTTAAGTCTTTTATTCCTCGCATTGTTTGCAAATAATTGCTTACAAAATCATTATAAAAATCTAATAACCGCTACAGTAAAGATGTGCAAATAGCCTGTTGCATTCAGTCTGTGATTTAGATTTACTGTGATTAAAGCCGGACTGTTTTTCTCTCTTAACAGTGGTGGTTGAATCAACCAGGCGGTGAAGCCAAACAGACCTTCGGCTGCCTCAAACAGTGTTGGATGATGAACTGAATGCGGACATTTGTATAAATCATGTTGGTTTTTTTTGTGTTAACATTTTCTATTTGGCTGTGTTAATAAATCAAAGGTTACACTACTCATTGTCTTAAGTAATTCATGAAAGGCAGTTAGTGCTGAAATAAGGCATGTTTTGATGTTAAAGGAATGTTTGGCTCGATTGAAGTCGTTTTATTCCCATACTCCACAAAAGGGGATTATCAGTGGTGATGGTCACAGGTTTTCTGCAGTCTTTAGGGTCGTGGTCCTCGTAAGTGTTGGATGTGCTTACTAGTTGTCCAAAAGCCAGTACTTGATTGTCTGTGAAAGAAGACACAGAAGGTAATGAGTAGGGGGTTTATTTGCATATCAAAGTATTGAAATGTGCAATTAAAACAGCAATATTTAATCAAAATTATGAAAGAAAACAGTATCATTATCTTGTGTAATGATTTCAACAATTTGTATTTTGAAATTCTTTGTTGTTGCTGACCTCAAAAAAGCACCAATATTAGTCTGATGACCTGGAATTAACTAGCAAGTAAAAAAGTAAAGCTTAAACTAAATTGCTTTTCAAAATGATTTCAAAGCGTTCAAAACACCATATGGTAGGGACACCTGCTGGCCAAAATTGTAAATGCAACAACTTCGTACTAATAACTAATGAAGGGATTTTTTTTTCAGACTCTATGCAAACATTAAATTCAGTTAAATGCTCTTATCTAATATTATGTTTGCATAATGTTATTTTTGTAATTTTAAGGCCTAATTTGTGTTATATTGTGGGCTCTTTACATAAAACAATTAGTACAAAAGTAGCCAACACATTTAAGCTTTAATCTGTACATACATGTACAGTTGTCAACACTTGAAGCGGATCATTAACTTTTTTTCATCAATGTTGTCCTAAAACTATTAAACAACAGCCATTCTTGTCCTAGGACAATTTTGAAAAACATTCTGATCCACTTTAAATGTTGACTACTGTATAGCTCTGGGGTCAGGAAGGTATCGGATAACATAATCCGAAAATATTTTTTTCATGTAAATTGCAGAGTTCCTTTAAAAAAAAAAAAAGTTCTGAAAAAAAGTTTCAGCCAGGTCAGAAAAACTCAAAAGTCATGTAACATATCAGAAAAAATAAGTAACGCAATTAGTTGCTTTTTAGGTAGTAACTCAATAT